TTTCATCCAGCCCTTAAATCCTATTCAGGATATCCCAACGTATCGATCCACTTTACTTATTATATCCATTCATACCCTATTAATCCTCTCTCGTGTCTGTATCGGGCGATCTGCTCTCCAGAGAAGACTTTCTATAGGAAACTGCGCCTATTTAGGTGAAGAAAACCGGGAAACTCCACGTGGTCGGTGAGGCTCGAATCCTCCACCAGTGGTTTCATACACTCCAATGCTGTATGCCCATAAATTCTATGTAGTGATAACTCTAAAAAAGACCCTCGTTCCTTGAGATCCAACCTCACCGCAACATTTCTTCCGAAGGGGAACAAAGCTAATAGTTTAGAGGCCTCAGGGCCCTCTTTTGGGAGTCCATAAACGGTCATAATCACTAGAGAGACAAGAACGAATTAATAAGATGGGGTGTAGATTTACAACAAGAATAAAAATAATATAAAAACAAAAACTAACGAACACATCACGTCATCCGGAAGTGAACAGATCTTCCTCGTCATGTTTACTCGAAAAGACGTTAAACTGGACAAACCAGTTAGGTGAAAGAATTTAAAAATTCATGCTCCACTGCACGTTCTTCGATAGATTTACAGCTTTTTATTTATATTTCTCTCTAAATTCATTCATTTAACTCATACAGTCGAAACTGTAAACAACGGACACGTAGCGTAAAAGATGGCCGTCGTTGGGAGGTCGACCGTACTCGATCTGTTACTGTTATTTTACATTGTTTACTGTAGTAGTAATGGATTCAATTGGGGGGTTTAGCAATGACTTCCAACACATGTTGAACCTCAATGAACCTCAAGAAGAAGAAGAAGAAGAGAAGCAATTTTTGAAGTTAAAAAAGCAGAAAAAAATGGAGTTGAAAAATCGATTTTTCCTTCAAAAACAATTTATTTTCCTAACCTCTTGTTCTGTCTAAAATTCAGATTTATCTTTTCTTTTGTCTGCTTTTTTTATTGCCATCAACCGAGCGAATTTACAATTGTATGAGGCAAATGATTTCTCCTTTAAGAAATAAATAAATAAAGAAGACATCCAGAACAATATAAAATCGCAGACCAGAAAGAAAGAAGGAAAAAAAAAAATATATTAAATTTTATTACGAATTTCTGAATAAAAATAAAAATAATAAGATATTAAATTAGAATGCTGCGGGAATAATTCTTAAATTTTCTAGCCTTTTTGGAGTATTTTGAAATATTTAAAATAAAAAAATTAAAAGATTTAAATTTAAATTCGCTCCGATTACGCGGGAAAAATTCAAAAAAATTGCGCGAAATCGTTTTAAATTAATCCGTTTGAAGTCGAGCCGATAATTGGCGCACGCCGATCACGTGACGCGCGACGTGTCTCCGGACGTCACGCAATTTTAAATTTTCTCGATTGCTTTCTGTAAAGATTTTTCCGAAATTTTATTTATTTATTCGTTTGTTTATTAAATAATTCAATTTTCTTAAATTATTTTAAAGAAAAATAACTCAAAAATTGTCTTCGAATAACGATTTATCGATACGTTTCAATCACGCGATGAAGTGACGCGTATCTGTCACGTGATGCGGCAATGAACTCGCCGCCGTCGTCGTCGTCGTCGTCGGTACCACGTGATTGAAGTCAATTTAATTTCTCAAACTGTTTCTAAAAATAAATTATTTAATAATATTTAAATTTAAATATATATATATTTTACAAAATGAAGTTTAAATAATGCCATTTTAATTCATAACGTAATAAAATCCATCACGTCATTGTTATTTAAAATAAAGTAAAATTTAATTGGCTGATTAGCTTCGTAAATTAATTAAATATAAACAACATTTCAATGGTATAATGTACAGCTTGGTATAATAGTTACAATTTCTAAGAATATTTATTGTTTAATGCAATTTACTTTCCTATTTAGATCATTATCACAACAACACCAGTTTAATGGATTCAAGAATAAGTATAAGTGATTAATAAGAGCTACACTCGGTTTTTTTCCCCTTCCGCTTTTATTTAATTTACATGAATGAATTTCGATAGGTGTTACATATCCTCGTGATTTAAACACCAATAATTTCCGGTTTTGCCACAGAAATATTAAAAAAAATTAATATACATTAACCTTAAAACAATACCTTACATATCCTTTTAATTATGGCGAATACAAAGAGGTAATTATGATAAATACACGCATCAAACGACGCCATTTTGAAATAGGTCATATACGGTGCATTAAAATCGTGTTTTATATAAAACAATTAGCTAAATTTAGTCTAATTTGATGGGAGCTAAGTTGGCATGTGTAAATTTTCGGATATTTCGTAAATTTCTTAATAAACGGGGGGGGGGGTAAAAAAACGGCTTAGGATAATACCCATCGCTTGACTATGATAGAGCATCCACCAATTTGTATTTATGAGTGTATGAGGCCCCTAAATGCGCGAGGCTAAATTGCACGAGTAGATACTTTCAGTACATACTCAAATTGCCTTTTATTACTACTGTACATAATTATGAACAATATTCGCAGACTCATGAGTACGCACTCAAATTGATACCGTACACATTTATGTACAGTACAGTATGTTGTGGATGTTATACGTAATTATGCACCGATGTGTTAAATTCACTGCCAAATAATCAAAATGGCTTGGAAGATTTCGTGAATTTTAAGGAGAGAACGTCACGAAACGTTTCTAGATTTCGCAACCTCTAGAACCTGCTTAAGAAACGCAAAGTACATCCTGTCCAATTGTCTCCTGTACAAGATAATTAGCGTGTACGAAAGGTTTTAATGCGTAGAAGTTATGTCGAATTTAAAATGTTTTAGCTACTGATTGATACTTTTTATAATTGTTTCGGTTGAAAATTTAAAAAAAAAAAGTAAAAGAAATCCTGCGGCGTTTTGTTGTTATTCAGAAGGAAAAAAAGTTCGTTATCGCTTTATCTTGTATAAATTTTGGACTAGTTCCGATAACATCTCTAAAGATGATACTTGAAAATTTAGTCTGTCAAAACAACTTCATCGCGATAGAAAGTAAGATTTAATAGAGAGGTTTAGTTTTTTATTAAGGAATATGATGTAGAATATGAATTAGAAACGAATTTTTTAAAAAAGTTCAAAAAGTTTTCAAAAATTTATGATATAATCGGGAATGTTCCTAATGACACCAAAGCTTCAGGTGCGGAGGAAAGTTTATAATCAATCACTACGCTATATTCGGTTTTGACAAATTAAAAAGGAAAAATTTGCTATTTAAAATGAATTTCCTGAGTTAAAAAATAAGATAAATGCTTACAAAACGAAACAGGTTATATTACAGACCAGAATAAACAGCAATAATTTAATAAATAGCCGTACACTCGTTAAATATTAATATAAATGAATTTAAAATTCAAATACGAGCCGCGAGTCACGTGACACTGCATTAATTGAAGTTTTAAGTCTTGCTTGTGAATGAATTTTAAAGTAATTTTATCATTATTTTCTAGAATAACGGAGTGAATATATTATTAATTAAGAAACAACAATGTTTTTCCAAGCAAGAAACGAACGTCACGTGACCGTTACGCCATTTATTATGCAGGCGATGAATTTTTAAATTTTTCTAAGTAATTTGCATAGCTTTACAACTTAAAAATAATTTATAAGAAATTATATTAATGTATAAATGCATATATTAAGTAAATTTGATATTTTATTTTTAAAAAATTAAACCAATTACGTGATACGAAATTCAGTTTTTATTTGAAATATAAAAATGCAGATAACTTAGTAAATGTGTAATAAATTAATATAAATTTTCATAAATCGTATAATAATTTTTCTAAAATTATCAGTTTGAATAATTAATTAAGATTGAAATATAACAGACGATATCGCCATTGAATTAAATAATCGTTAAATGTTACCGATGACGTCACCGCTAAATTTATAAGCTTTGTAACAAAATATTTAATTCTTATTGATTTAAAATAATAAAAATTTACTAATATAATACAAAAATTATATAATTTTGTAGAAATTTAAATAAAACGTTTAAAAAATTTTACGTTTATGACGAAAAAAAAACGTGACGTCACAGCAAAATATCTTACGTTTCCATGACAATATTGGAAATATTAATTTAAATATTTATGACGAATTAACGAGACAGAAATTAAAATTAAAAATAATTCTGTAGCACGAAATCTTTAAATTTAGAAATGATCGACGTTTTTATCTTTTTTTAAATTAATTATTGTTAAGCAAAATTTAAATTTAAATCCATAGTCAGTTGATTTGACGTCATTGGTTTTGACATTTCAAATTCGCTTTTATAATATTATAATTTATCGATTTTATATTAAACTTTTGTGATTAACAAATACGAAATTTTCCATTTATTATTATTTTAAGTAGAAATTAATGTTTTAAACATTAACTTCACTCTTTGAAACGAGATTTTTTCTATTTAAATTAGTCACGTGATAAGTTTGAAACGTAATAACAATTTGAAATTTTCATAAACATTATTGTTCCGTTTGATTATATTCAAAAAATTAATCTACAATTAAATTTTAATTTAAATAAATAATTAAGTAATAATATTCATTAAACGAAAACATTTTAAAAGTTCAAACTCAGTCACGTGACACAAGCAGACGACTTTTTATATTTTTTAAATTAAAGAAAAAAAAAAGAAAAGTAACGAGAATTATTTATTAAATTATAAGTTAATTTCAAATTTAATATTTGGAGTAATAATTTACTTCCAGATGTAACGAATTTAAAAGTATTTCCCCTTCGAATCTTATCACCGCCGAGGTTAAGGTACGAATTTAATTGCTTCACGTGACCGGAAGTCGTTTAATTATTTCAAAATTTCGAAATCAAAAAAGAAAGAAGGAGGAAAAAAAATAAATTAATGACGTAAACTCCGATTGTCGCATTTCAATTCGGAAGGGAAGAAATAATTGCGTATTAAAACTCATCGTCGGTCACGAAAAATGGTGAGTCACGTGGCTCGGTTTCCAAGGACGGCAAACCACGTGACCCGATACGTCATGGAGGTGGAATGTGTTGAGTCGGTCGGTAGAATTGGTGCACCTTTCCGTCTCTCTTACCTGAACAGGTGCTAAATGATGGATGAGCAAAATGTCCTGACTTTCGATTCCGTTAGGGATTATCTCTTCCAGAACGGTGGTAAAGTTAATAATCGCGAATTAGTCAAGCACTTTCAGTCTTATCTAACAAATCCAGACCTAGAGAAACAAGGTAGGCCTTTAGAAAATCCAGGTGTAAACAGGTACACGCGAGAATTTTAGGGAATTATTCGGGTATTTTGGCCTTTTTAAAGCCGTTTTTGGTGTGTTTGTGTGTGTGTTACACTCGTTACGTCACGTGCACGCGGTAAATTGATCAATTGCACTCGTGTGACGTCACAGGTACGTGTGAGAAGAGGGTAAACAAACCCAATAGAAACTTGTGTAATTTGGACAGATTTAGGGATTTTTATCTCCATTTTTAAATTATTTGTGGGTGATTTAATGTAAATTACTTAATTACGCACGTGTAAATTCCACGTGTACGTGATAAATTGATCAATTACATTCGTGTGTTGTCACATGTACACATGGGCAGAATGTAAACAAACCATTGAAAAGTAGTTAATTTGGTCAGATTTTTGGCTCTTCGTTCCCCGTTTTTTTAATAATTTGTGGGTGATTTAATGTAAATTGATTGAATGTAAGATTGATACACAGGGGTGCATGAGAAATTGATCAATTACACATGTGATGTCACATGTACTGTACACATGGGAAGAGTGTAAAGAAACCAATAGAAATTTGTAAAATTTGGACCCTTTATGGGTTCATAATACCCATTTTTTGTGGGTTATTTATTGTAATTTGCTCAAATGCACTCATCTGTACATATGTGAAGAGGTAAACAATAAAATTTGGCCACTTTTTGGGTTCCTAATCTTCATTTTTTTAAAATTATTTGTAAGTTATTTGTGGTTATAAATGTAATTGAGCAATTTACAATAGGTATGATGTTATATGTACAACATAAATTACTTAATTACCCTCATATAATGTCACATGTACACATTGGAAGACTGTAAACAAATGAATAGAGATATGTAAAATTTGGCCACTAATAATTAGTTTTAACACTATTTATACCTTGCTAATTGTAAATTGCTTAATGACATTTGTCTTGTCATGTTTACATAAGAGCAAGATGCAAACAGAACAACAAATGAAGACTTTTTGGACTTCTAAACCTTAATTTTTGGCTATTTAATTGTTCCTTTATGGGTTATTAATGCAAAATAATTCAATCGACACATGCAAAATGACATATACATGACATCAAGGTATAAGTGTGCTAAGCGACAGAAAAATTAAGCATAATAATTACTAAACTTAATTTATTTATCCACTTAATTTATCCACTTAATAAATTATACTAAAAAAGGTAAGATTTATGCAAGAATGAAATATAAACAAAAGAAAAATATGCAAACATTCTCCTTTAAATCCTGATTTCGTAACCGTCCGTAGCTTATTCATAGTTTATTAATGCTAAAAACTATTCAATTCGCACGTAAATAATGCCGCACGTACCACCATGCCGCAAGCATGTGTATGCGGGATGTCACGCTGCTACGGCAACGAGCACATATCAATCATATTATGATGCAGGTCTTTTGGTTCTATATGAGATTTCACATTATTTTTGTTAACTGTTAACCTAGATTAATGTGGAATTTACATTCTGTTAATGTTTTGTAGTATACTATACATGCGTGACATGTGATTGTGTGTGATAAATGTGTTTATTTATGATTCTGAAGAGGCCGCTCTCTTCCGCTGTGGCACTTATTCCATTTCGAAGTTGGATTTTTGCCTATTTTGGTTTTTTTTTTCTGTTTAAATTGAGCTTCAAATGTGATAGATGCTCTAGAAGTTAGATTATATTCACTTATTGTAGTTGTATATGTGTATTTTCTGTAATTTTGTAGGCGTAGGTAACTAAGCATCTGCCTGTTGCCAAATTGGGCTTTTGTGAGGTAATATTAGCTTCGACAAGAATGAAGGGCATCTTTTGTTTGTGTAGGGATAACCGATAATCCCTTGCTAGAGTTGCCGGCATTCCTTAGAGTTGATGCTGCAATCGTGGGATATCTTCGTACGGGAGAGAAGCAAACGGAATTGAGTCTAGCCACAATTTATTGAAAGATACTCCTAATGAAGCCAGAAATGCTGTAAAAGTTTAGAGTTCTTGCGTACGTTGCTGCTGAAATTATGGCTTACATACTGGATTTATTGCTAGTATAAGTTTGGCCTATAACCTTTGGAGGATGTCAGTCATTCCCAACAAAAATAAAATCATTTTTATAGTGAATATGCCTCACAGTAGGACAGAGAGGGCCATGATCTCACGAGGAACCTTAAGCGAACCCTAGACTGTCCACATTGTCAGCTGAATGTCCATATCGGGCTTTTGTATTGGTGTTTTAGGCCATAAAATGCTATGTATATGTCCTTTAGAGGATAGAGTAACATTCTCCATTAGAAAAATGCTAGTTGATGACAAGATTTAATTGTAACAAGTGTGCATAATCTGTTTAAAGTTACAGACCTATCAATAACAGATTCTATTACCAGGGTGGTATGTTTACAGGAAGTACCAAGAGCATAAACAAGAAGGACGAACACAAATGACGATTCTATAAATTAAGCAAAAAAAATGGTGAAACGCATCTATAAATCTTTTCGGAAGAATCTGAAGCTAGGAGGAGGTTCTTTCGAAATTCTATACTTAATAAATGTGCCGTAACAAGTTTAAAACGCAATTACAATGGACAGAATGCGAACATGTCTGTCTCTAAGTTGAAGAGGAAAGAAGGAAATAAGTCAGAGGTGAAAGCTATAAAGAATTTTTATTTCTTTAGAGACTTTAAACTCTTTTTAAATTCTCTCGGTTAAAGTTTTTAAACAAATTTAAAGTGCAAAGGCTCGTCGTAAATCTGTCGACAGATCTTCCGGTAATTAATCCAGTTTATAAGTGCAAATTTGAGTTAGTTTTATTGTTATTGAGCTTAAAGTAGTAATTAATTTGTTAAGCATGTTTTATATTAATATATATCATCTGCTTATTGTGTATTGAGGGTGGTCCAAAAGTCAGTGAACCTATGTAAAGACCATGTTTTCTCTGACTTCTGGTCCCTTCAGTAGGATATTTTGCTTAGTATATGTACAGTCAATAATAAAAAAGCATCCTTAACCGAATGTATTAGTGTTGATATTGCTGATTTTTTGTTAAGGGTGGCCCAAAAATCAGTTAACCAAGTTTTTTTGTTGTGTCCCAGTTATTATGAATCTTGACTTCTAGATATAAAATGAGTAAATAATTGCACCTGGGACATAAAAACTGTGGTTAACTGACTTTTGGCCACCCCTTGTTGTGTTCTATGTATATTTAATATGAATCATAAGTAAATAGGTGTATCCGGAATATAAAAAACCATGGTTAATTAAATTTTGGGCCACCCTGTATATACAAATTCATTAGCAGAATCATTTTTTTGTTTTTTAAATTATATAATTACATTAAGCAGATTATTTATAAACACAGAGTACGGCAACAGCAAACACGTCACTCCACGCCGAATTTGAAATGCAAATGCCGAGCATCCTTTCGTAACTTAACATTTGCATAAATTAATTATTTATCCATCATAAGCGATTACACATCGCGCGATGGCGTCCCGTGCAAAATCCTCATTTTAAAGTTTTCGGCAAGTAACGAGGCGGACTTTGTGTACAAAGTTGGAAGTTTGAAGTAATTTTTAAGGCTCTTGTTTACTCTACACAGCTGTTTAGAACAAGAGTTTAGAAATTTTGTGCGTATGCAACTCTATTCAATCACATCAGTCGAAAATGTGCAGCTAATACTCCGAGGAATTCCACTCGAGTCCTGGTTTTTGTCAGGGAGTGAGTTTCTACTCCACGTCTCTCGGGATCTCCGGTGTAGGGTTTCTTGATGGGGTTGACATGTGGCCGGAGACACTTCCACTCTACTTTTGTCGGAGTTTTTAGAGTAAAAAAGTAGTCTCTAGATGTTGAATATCCACGTTTTATATTTAAATATTTGATAATTAAAAATCCCCTCCCTTTTTTTTTCTTTCTTTTCCAGCTCAAGCCAAATTACACTTCAGAGATTACATCAATGAACTGGCCACACTGAAAGAAGAAAATGTAAGCTATCTTTATCAAATTACACTAATTAAATGTACTTAAGGCCCTTATAACTTATATTTTATAAACTTATCTATATATTAATTACAAAATTGGATAATTAAGAAGGATGATTGTGCCCTTCACAATGATATCTGCTGAATCACAAGTGGTTTTTTTTTGAGTGCGAAGGCAAATATTATTATGTTAATGAGAAGATTTTTCTTTGACGTCCATGTTAGTCGACCGTCTTTCGTGATACGCTACTCCACTTAGCTCGGAGAATGTGATATTCTACTGGCCTTTGATATCTTATCTGCAATATTTGCTCAATATCCCCCTTTTTAACGGCTCTCTAACACCGTGGAGATGTTTAAGATAAATTAGCATCAGTGTGAGTGATCAGATAATGTTACGATCAATCATTTCAGTAAAATTGATCTTGCTCCTCGTTCTTAATTGGGATTTCCTTTATAAATATTCATAATTTAGAATTAGATGTAATTTGTTTTCTTTAATTTCTACTGTAATCTGGTGTTTAAATTTGTTTCTAATTAAAAATTAGGGGGTGAAGTATGTTGTGATGAGGAAAAAGTACCTTGATAACACATCCGTGAATGTGCCTAAATCTAGTCCGGCAAATACCGAAATTCGGCTTTATCCAAATGGAGTTTGGCCACAGGGAAGGTTTCAGAAGGTTAACGAAACTGGCGTAGGCTACGTGGATCCAAATGCGAGTGTGGCATTGTCTGTCGCGAGGTGCGACGACAGAACGACGAGGTTACCCATGTCGGAAGAAAGGGAGACGCGGAATTTTGTCAAAGTCAATCATTCACAGATTTATCAAAGCTTAACACCAACTTTAGAAGCAGTTCCTCAGCCACCACCTCGTCGCAGAGGCGATAGGAGGGAGTCATCGGGGAAGATAGAAGAAACCTTACGTCAGTTGAACAAAGAAAACTCTGAGACCGTAATCAGATAAATTTAATCATAAAATTACTTGATGAATGGTTTGAAGATCTGCTAAAAAATGTGCTTTTTTCAGAAAATTATAAGGAATGAGGCTTTGACCGAACCTATTATAAGTCCAGGTATGGTAAGAGAAAGAGCACAGTCCTTGAATAAGTTAGCATCGGAAACTGAGCTAATGATAAAGTCACCGTCACCGTCACCGTCACGACCTACGAGAGGAAGTGTGAAAATAGTAAGTAGATATTCTCATATAAGGCAGAAGATAGTAACTAAACCGATAGCAGAATGAAGTATTCTTGCCCCTTATTTTCTCATAAATTGCATAATTTATACTAAGTGTTCTCTTGCAAGCATTATGCATGAGAATATGTGCTTAGATATACTTTGCCCATTGGTTAGAGGTGTGTGAGAGCGCATGAGAACACTATTCAGAACTGTTTTTTTTTTTTTTATATATCTTTATGAATTTACTTATTTTATACAGACAGTAGTCTACATATTATATATGTACACTACTGAGCAAACAAATCAGGATTGAATATTGGTGGTAAGTGATTTCTATCTGTAATGATCTGTGTGGTTCTGAAATCATTTGGCTTTTCTGAGTACTGGCAGGTAATGTTTGCCAGCCCCACGCCAAACAACAATCTCATCTTCTCTAGCTACACTGCAGTTGGAGAGGACGGTACTGGTACATTCTATCCTTTAATGTGCATTCATCCACGGGTGTCCATTGGTAGGGCTGGCACCCTATCTATTTCTCTAGCTAGGCTATAGACAAAGAGGACCATACATTCTATCTGCAGACATACCTTTGTGGCATAGGCATCCACTGGAGGACAAACAGATCATTTATGCCAATGGATCTGGTCTTCTAAGGGCAAGATCAGTTGGAAGTTGGACCCTTACAAAGTACCCTTTCATAAGTAGTGTCAGAAGATTCTATTCTCTGCCACACTCAGTAGTATGTTAAATTACCTGATAGAAGCTTGATTAGGCTAATTTAAGTGGAAGTACATCGCTCTGCTTTTCAGAAAGTTGCAGTAGACACTCGCACTTCACGGTTCGCTTTGTTTTACCTAGAACAAATATGATAAATTTTGTTCAGTTGCTATCTTCTGTTACCTCCACGTTTTGCAAGTAGAAACCGAGTAAACTAAATTCTGTGACTCGCTACTCGAAACAAAAATAATTAATAAAATTTTCATAAACTTTCTCATCCTATACAGAGCTTGGACGACGACGATACATCATCATTAGCCAGTGTGAGTAAACATATTTTTCATATTTATCATTATTTTAATATTAAAATATGTAGTGAATAATTTACTTTCGTACAAGTTTACATAAACCGTATCGCCATTAATTTACAAAAAAGCTATTTATATGGCTACTATACAAAGAAAACATTGAATTTTTCATCAAAATTAAAAATTTATCAAAGTAAAATGAAAACTAGAGTAGGAAAGCCATCTTTATAGACTCAATATGCAAGTGTCTAAGCTTATACATTGAGAAAATGCCGACGTTGATAGGAATGGAATGAATTAACATTGCCGATTTAAAAGATCAGTGTTTATTAGAGGAATTTTTTTGCTCTCAAATTTAATTTCTGGCTTGGATAATATTGTTTTTTTAAAAATGACAATAATACAAACTCCCACTGGGGAATTTGTAGGTGTTAGTGTAATTATCATGTATATATAATGCATATGACATGCATATTACCTGTTGCAAATTAGGATTTTTATGTAAATTACAGAAAATTAAATAATTAAAAGAATTTATTAAAACTGTTTTTCTATATATTTTATATGATTTCATTCAGTTTAAGTACCTTTTGTTGTCGGGGTGTGTAGCAAGGTATCGATCTTCCAACGTCTTTTGAACTTGGGAATTGATTGGGGGGACGTCTCTCTCATCTTTGTGAGATAGGTTTATCTGTAAAAGAATAATTGTGTTTAAATTAATTAGTTCATCTTAATTGTGTATTCATGAAAAATATGATTAGATTTAATTACAGTCGACCCCCCTATAACACTGTTGATTATTCCGTTTTATATGAATTCCATGTTGTACGAGTCACTTAGATTTTACAAATAAGTGAGCCATTTACAGCCTGGCACACGTATTTGTAAAATCTAAGTGACTCGTACAACATGGAATTCATATAAAACGGAATAAACAATAGGGAGGGTCGACTGTATATGCAGAGTCTGCAAATTTGAAACAAAGGAATTACATTCAGCTTTTATTCTTTTACATGTAAAGCATGATGCCGAGTAAGGAGAAATGAATTCAAGTGATTTTCATGGTAGTGACCCAAGGTTTATGAAGAGTTTAACAAGCTGCATGCAGACTTTGCACAGATCACACAGTGGTGTGGATGCAACCTGTTAAATTCTTTGGAAAATTTATGCCGACTCGGTTTCCTACCATCAGAATATCGTCAAATTTGTTTCTTCTCATTCGGCACCATGCTTTCTGTGTAAAAGAATAAACAAAACTTAATGTAATGCTTGTGGATCCAGACTGGGACACCCTGAAGGGGAATGTTGTGTCAATTGAGTCCAATTGTGTTGATACAGGATAACAGGCTACTGATATAAGGAAAATATAATAAAAATCTAGTTAGAAACCAATTAGATAATCTACATTATCTTTATATATGATTTTCTCCTGTTGTTCATGCATATTTTTAAATGCCTTTATAATAGTTTGCTGTCTACTATTATAGCAAACACTATAATAATAATTTTGACAATTTAACACTTTTTATTGCATATAAATGAGCCTTTTGTAGAGATAAAAGAATGTATACTTTATTAGTAATTTGATTGATAAATGTTGCCATTTGTTGAGCTAAATTTTATAAAAATTCATCTGTAAAGCTATACTAGTGCTTAAATATTTAATTAATTATTAATTGCTGGTACCTTCTCCCCCTTTAATCCAGTGTTTCTTTGGTGATACTTTACCTCATATTATTACATGTGCTTGTTTCTATACAGTCGACTCCCCCTATAACACTGTTGATTATTCCGTTTTATATGAATTCCATGTTGTACGAGTCACTTAGATTTTACAAATATGTGTGCCGGGCTGTGAATGGCTCGCATATCTGTAAAATCTAAGTGACTCGTACAACACGGAATTCATATAAAATGGAATAATCAACAGTGTTATGGGGGAAGTCGACTGTATTCCTGATATAATTGTATAGTACTTCATATAACTCAGAGCTTTAATTCTTGCAGTGCAGGATGTGTTATCCTGCTTGTTATATAACACTAGATTTGGATAAATTAATTGATTTTTTTTTTTTTAACCTGTAGCTGAATCCTTATCGAAGAGAGTGGACGCTGAAGGCAGCTCAGGGAGACTACCTGTCACTCGTTCGCTTGTTGAAAGAAGAACCCAGATTGGCTAATTTTAAAGTGAGTCGAAATTTATTCTGAATATGTAGCTGTACGCAACACTTTCACGACAAAATTTATGTATAGGCATTCTGTCAATTGTATGCAAATTAGATCTGTCGAGATATTATCTCTAAACAAATACACTTATCTTACTCAATAGAGGAAATTTTTGCCATTTATCTTTGTTTTTAAGTGATGAAAGCATATTTTTATATAGAAAAATGAGAAATTTATGAGGAAATCTTAATCTAAGCTTGTCTCGTTTGTATTTATGGACACTGCCGACGCTTTACACGAGTTTTAAACTTAGATTTTCTGCTAGATTAGGAAATTACACTTGCCATTTTATGAAAGAAGATTAAGTAAAATAAATTCGGGTGGGTATAAGAGAAGAATTTTTCCGACCCGATGAGTTCCTTTATTGGTTAAGCGAATCATTTATTCTATTCGTAATGTTTAAGCGAAGTAAATGATTTTATGTCAGGATTTGTTTCTGATTATAATAACTTTATGACCGTATTAATTATTAGAGGAAGTTGTAACGTTCCACTCAATTGATGAAGCGAGTAATGACTTTGGAAAAAGTTGCTGATGTCGTTACAGATTTTTTTCCCCTTTTTATTATTATTATTACATTCGTCGCTTGTCGAAAGTATAATTTTCGACCTAACGATTTTTTCGGGTGTCATTAACAGTAGCAGACTTATTTATTTGTTCCCCATTTTCTATAGCCAAGTTTTAGAAACTTTCCTGTATATTATTACATAGAGATGCACAAGTTTGGAATTTATAACCTCATAATTATAATCTTTTAAAAATAAATACAAGAAGTACAAGGAAAAGAAAGTGTTGTATAGACTTTTTATGGCACCAGACAATGAGTGATAGCAAATACTTTGCCTAATTGGACACAATTTTTAGAGGAACTGTCCGATAACAATAGAAAATGAACCTAATAAAGTGATTATCCGATCCGCACGAGACGCATGTCATCTATTTTAAGAATAAATCTAAAAGTATGCTTTACTCTGCAGAGATGGAATTTTTCCTATTCTCTATATGAAAAGGTGATGAACTCCGAAAGATGTAGACGGCATCCCAATTGATCCGTAATCATCCGACATCCCTGGTCTCGGCAGGAGACCGTTAATACCAAACAGGATATTAAGATTTAGTACTTAACCCCTCTCGCACTCGGTGCCAGTTTTGATTGATTCTATTTGCTTTGCATCTCTAGCGAATGGGGGAGACTCTTAAACAAGCAATAACATCATTTTTGTTTGTTGTAATGCCATCAATCAGTTATAACTTACCGATTTTTCTTTTTCTTTTATTAGGATTTCATTTCGGTAAGTAAATTACTATTTGGCTACATAATTTGAAGAGCTGATCTTAATTTTTTTCCTCCTTTGTTTCCGATTTAAATATGCAGGGGGTAAGTAAATGCTTTTCTAATTGAATTAGTACAAATTGGAATGAATGCTTAATTAGTTTTTACTTTCAACCCATTGCTGTCGACTGAATTTTTATTGTTTTTTCGTCCCGCGAAGTTCGTAAGTACCTCTAAGCTTTGAAATTCTAAATTAATTATCCAAAACTGTTATACTAAGTTCATTATGGGACATTTTAGACAGCCCTCCATTGGGCAGCTAAGCATGGAAGCTGTGATATTGTCAAATTAATTGCCGGGAAGCACAGGGTAAACCCAAATATCCGATCGGTAAGTGATTTTAAAGTGCTCTTACATTATATTTTATGCAGTAAACATTCACTAAATTCTGGTTTTTTTCCCCTCTCTTTCCCTTTCATTTATAAGCATGTAAGTATTGATTTTGTTTCTCTTGCTACATTTCTGAATGTTTTTTTTTTATCCATTACTAATGCTTCATCTCTCCATTTTTCATTGTCGCAGGGGGTGAGTATTGAATATTTTAAAGTACGACCGAAGGGTAGTACCGTCGGCAAACTGATTTAAATCTCTTCTTTGCATCAGGGGTATACGCCGCTTCACATAGCAGCCATGTTTAATCGTCTGGAGGTTATCGGACTCTTAAAAGCTACTTACGGTAAGTAAAATTAATTTCCAAACTTACCACCTGCAATTTAAGTTTTCGAAACTACTTTTTCGACGGTTTTTATAGGGGCGGATGCGTCGATAAGAGACTACAGTGGCAAAAAGGCAGAAGACTACTTACCAAAGACAGAAATACTTAAAGAACGTAAGATGACCCCTCCTAACTCTCTTCTTATCCACCGAACACTTTCGTCTTCTATTCGTTCCTCTTTGCATCAGTCTTTCTTACGATCGACGAGGCCCGTCGTCAGATCAAGAAGCGTAAAGTCTGCCTATTTTGGATGATTACTTAAGTTTTTTTTTTTAAATTTCTTACTCTACTATGCATGCTGGTTGTGCATGGTGCATGTTGGGACTTTATCAGTAATTTTATCTGTATGGCTATTGTCTATAGAGGTTATATTAAAGGTGAAAGGTTATCAGTTTGAATCTGTTTTGTGATTATTTATATATATATAATGGTTAAGGTTATTTTCAGTGTTTTGACATAGAGTTTTGATGTTTTACATGCTAAAATGTGCATTTAATTTGTTCTTATGGAGGGTGTTGCTTACAAAATCTATAAAATCTCAAGTTCCTTTTTAGTAAAATGACAATTTGTTTTAAAAAAAATAATTTTTACTGTCCTTTTACAAGAATAAAACTGAGTTTTTAGTTAATTTCACCAGTAAAAATGCATTTCTTTTTGAAAAATATCAATTTCAGGATTGTCATTTTATAAAAAAGGAAATTGAATTTTTATAAACTGACAATCCTGAAATTAACAAATTTCTTTTTAAAAAAAATAACAATTTCAGAAATTGATTGTTTTGTAAACTTGCAAAAAAAATTCAATCCATTTCAACAATTAAAAAATGAAAAAATGTCAGTGCTAAACTCTTAAGAAAATGCAGCAAACTGTTAATTACTGGGTTGGCGTGTTAGATGCTAATTAGAAGTAATCCTGAAGCAAAATTGTGGTTTGTAGCCCTTCATGCATCCCTTCTGTTACATTTTACTTACTGACAGATCGGACAGGCAGATAAGGCACTTCCGCAACACATTTTGGACCTCCCAAAAGACTTGTCAGGATTTTTTTCTTCCATTTACGTATCATTTATTGCCAGATATACATCTTGGCATCATAGTCACATCCCATTAGTAAGCATTACCGCATATCCATTCTCAATCCCCATCAGGGATGTATATAGAAGAGAAAACAATAGACAGTGACAGAAGGCCAGGTTGACATATCCAAACTCAAATGACCTCTGGGGCTTTTGTCTGTCACCTGACATGATCGACAGGGGGTTTTGGCTTTGGGTCTAGCCAAGTTGGGTGACTCGACGGGGTGGAAGATGCACAGTAAATTGACTGGAACTATTAGCTTTGGTATATATATGCAATTTTACATGTTATGAATGTAAGTGCCTACCCCTCAGCATCTCGTGATATTTCGACAGTTTATACAAGGGGGGCGCATTATAAATTTAAAAAAAAACGGGGAAAATAATTATAAAAAACACTAGAATAATGGATGAGTTAGCGTTATTAATGAGCAGCAATGTTTTATGGATGAAAAATCGGACTTTCAATCAAGGGTTATAAATAATTTATAGAGTATTGAGAATCAATAAATGTTAAATTTAATACTGTAGGTATTTGTTTTTCCTTCCCCTTTAAAATTTATTATTTAAAAAAGAAAAAATAACAAAGGATAATCGTGATTTGATTCTCTTGTCGACTTCACGATTCAGTCTACTAAACAAGTCACTATACTAATCTCTGACAAAGAGAGGTGGGGGGGGGGAAGAAAACGTACACGTCACAGTAAATAAATACGGCTACGTTCAGTCGATCCCGTATTGAATTTTAATTCTCTTTGTATATGGAAGCTCGAACGAGGGTCTTAACGATTTAAATTGATGGCATTTGTGTAACGTTTTTAGCTCTTCCACTGCCACCTGTCAACGAAGTGAGTTTAACTCGCATTGGATCCCTCAATGCTAAAGTGAGGAAAACCGCTTCGGCTCTATACAATGCTCGTTCGTCTAGAGTTAAGAGTTGGGGGTCGTCGGACAGCCTGGCAGAAATGGTGAGTTCTTAAATTGGGAGAGTGCTAGGTTATCATCCCAGTAATACCGTTTCTTTCTTTGTAAACAGATGGCCAATCATTTCATTTCCACCCCTAAACCTCTCTCTACAAAAAAGAAAAAGAAGAAAAAGTAAGTTGTGGTTTTGTGGTTAATGGTCGGTTTAGTCCGCGTTAAAACGGGTGCGATTTTCGTATTATTTCACGTTAGTTTCGACTCCGTTCTGTTTCGGAATGAAATGAAATCGGAAATTAGAGCATAAGTGATCAATAAGATCATTAACTACGCCTCTACTGTACATAATAATTAATTACAGTCGACCCCCTATAACACTGTTGATTATTCCATTTTATATGAATTCCATGTTGTACGAGTCGCTTAGATTTTACAAATACGTGAGCCATTTACAACCTGGCACACGTATTTGTAAAATCTAAGTGACTCGTACAACATAGAATTCATATAAAACAGAATAATCAACATTGTTATAGGGGGGTCGACTTGTATAATTGTTAATTAATTAATGAATTTTTATATTTCAGTGTGGAAGAGAAGAAGATTAATGAAGATTCCGATTCGGATAGTGCTTACGGATTCTATTCTTGATAAAACTTCAGTAAAGACGTCACAACTATCTAGATATTAGCTTTATAACAGTACAAAATACTTTGTATACGTATTATTCAGTATTTAAGAGGTTTTGGCGACGTAGTCATTCTACACTTTATTTATACATACATACATATATTTTTACAGGATATTTTATATTTAGATATATATATATATAAATGTTGATTCGAACAAATTTTATACCGTTTTTTTAAAAATTAACCTCTACGTTTAGGGGAGTCTCTCGTGGGGCTCCGTTTTAAGTGTACGGGTCGAAATAATCACCAAAGTAATATAGTTATGTATAACTAAATAAAGGATAATTACGTGTTTATGTGTAGAATTGGAGTAATCTGTAGTGGAGTTTATAAGCGGAGGTCCACGTCTAACGTCAATTAAGCTTGACACGCGGGACTGGCTGGCCATTATCCACTTAACAAAGGCCGTCTTCCCTTAGTGGATACGGTTGGCATTATTACCTAGGGAGCCGAGTAACACAGGTGTTACGTAATGCCTAAATAATAATCTACTTCTGCAATTGGTATAGATGGACAATATTGTTGACAATGGTCGAGAGGCACGAACGGTGATGTGCACACGGACGGGATTAAGTGATCCCCTAATATTTACTCATGAATTTTAATGCCACTTCTTAGTTGGTAGTATGAAAAACACAGGTGGGTTGTACCCTAGACAAACAACCAATCCCGAGCGTGATTAAATTATACTTTCAAATCATCTTTTTGTTTCTGGTTAGAGGGTGGGAAAGCCTTCGACGTTATTTCGATGGGGGTCTAAATGATGAGAGAACTGTCACTGACATTTTCTTCGACCCAATATCTAATCTATCAGAAAATGAGTCTCCCTGTCGGGGTGAGGGGTTACCAATACACCATTGATTTTTCCCTCGGTTGATTCCACTAAATATGCCTACCGAACTCCGAGAGGTGCAGTTGTGTGTGTGTGTGTGTGTGTGTGGGGGGGGTGCTCGTGGAGTTTGCCAGTTAAACGAAGCTGCTATTTCGATGGACTCCATAATCAGTTTTAAATTAAAACGGCATTCGGGAATATCGTACGCACCCGTTTTGATAAGTGACGTATTGTAAAATACCTGGTTTACTTTATGATAACGTGGCGCCATCTGTTGAACAAATTCAAAATACATCTGTATTTGGAAATTGTGAAATATAAAATTATCTAGATGGCTTCGAGAGGTCTTATCTATCATAATTTACATTTTTTTTTCAATTTGGAAATTAGGAGGTTAGGTACATGTCTAGTGTACGTGCAATACAGCACAGTATGTTATTAAAAATCCTTTACCCCTCACTAGTTTTATAAGTTTGAAAGCTAAATTAAAGGGATTTATGATTAGATTTTCTCCAATATACCGATAACTTTAAAAAGGCACTTAAGAAATATTAAAATATAAGGGGCCTTTCAAACATCGAGAGAGGCCCTGCAAATTTTTTAATGTATACATAGAAACAGGTGTGCGGGTGCAGATACATTCGTGAATCTCACATTAATAACCGTTTAAATATTTTAGAGACTTTTTTTAACTTCAAAACTAATATTAGAGTGTATAATTTTATTATTTAATTTAAAATCACTAATAAAATAAAATTTATTCGTTATCGTTCTGCACGTTAGATGGCGACACAGTATATTTCGCTAGTTTGATGGTTAATGATACAGCGCCATCTGCTACTTGAAATGAGGTATGATTTAAAATTCGCACGAGTTTAATTTTAACCCTGTCAGCGCCATCTAGGGACATTTAGAAGAACTAATCTCGAAATTAAACGGAAGAATTGTATCACGAATTCTTTATTTTTAACATAACACGGGGAAGTGTAAAAAATAATTTAAAAATTTCCAAAAGAATTATTTTATATCCTAATTTATCTATATTGGAAATGTATGGACCTACAATATTTAAAAAAATACAGCGACGAGTTGCACAGAGAAGTTTAAAATTTGTATATGGCGCCATCTGTTATAAAAATATTTTAAAATCTCATATTATTATTAAAAGATGAAAAAAACTGAATTTTCGGGGTAGAGATGAATTTTACAAAATAATAATAAAAAAAAAAATACGAGAAACTAATAAAATCTTCATTAAGTCCGACTATACTCGAGATACCACGCATGTCCCCCTGTATCTCCCACCCCCTCGACGTTTAACCACAAAAATTTAGTAGCATCAAGGCTTCTAATACAAAATCTTCCCTGCAAAATTTCGACAAAACGCACGGGAGTTATTAAGCTTCAAATTAGGTGAACAATATCGTGCCCCTCCCACACTAACATCCATTCGAATGGCCCACCAGTGGCCAAGCGGTCTTCGTACCTGAACATTAAGTTCGGTCTTGGGTTCGCGCCTCGCTCGGACGGGCTGGCCACATGGAGTTTTCCGGGTTTCTTCACGTCTGTAACACCTAAATAGGGGCCAGTTTACCTTAAAAAGACCTTTCAGAAGGCATCCCCTTAAGCAGATCGCCCAGGTGTTGCGTTGCCATAACTCATACAAACCAAAATCATCCATTCGTACATACAGAAAACGTACTCAGAGCCGGCCTTACCATAGGGCGAACGGAGCAGCCGCTCCAGGCGCTAAGTCCTAGGGGGCGCCTCAGTGGTAAAAAAATAAAGGAAAAAATATTTTTTTTTTCACTTTTCGATATTTTAATTGCAAGCGTGTGGCCAGTATGTGAATGGCCTTATCTGTTGAGACGCGCGTGA